TTTTTTTTTTTTTTTTGCAGTTTTTGACCAGGGCTGGGTTTGAACCTGCCACCTCTGGTATAGGGGGCTGGCACCTTACTCCTTTGAGCCATAGGCGCCACTCCACCCCCCTTTTTTTTCTTTTGAGACAGAGTCTCACTATGTTGCCCTCGGTAGAGTGTCGTGGCATCACACCTCACAGCGACCTCAAACTCTTGGGTTTAAGTGATTCTCCTGCCTCAGCTTCCCAAGTATCTGGGACTAAGGGCACTCGCCACAACGCCCAACTTTTTCATTGCAGTTGTCTTTGTTGTTTAGCTGGCCCGGGCTGGGTTTGAACCTGCCAGCCTTGGTGTGTGTGGCTGGCGCCATAACCACTGCTACAGGTGCCAAGTCGTGCTTCACCTTTTTTTAAATTTCAAGGTGTATCACCTGTTTTGAAGAGTTTGCAAACAACTGAATATTCTATAAGCTATATTGCAACTCCAGATTGGTTCACCTGTAAATCTTTGAGGAGACTTTCCAGGCTGTTTGCCCCTTGAGAGAAGACAGTAGGGAAGAATGGCAGTCAGAGTCCTAGGTTTGGTTTTGACCAGGACCATATGTAAGCTTGTTTATCCTTGACTTGGTCTCTCCAGTGCTGCCAGCCTATACTGTCCATTTAGTATCTGCTGAATGGTGATACCTACTAAGTGGAAATAATGTGAAGGTTTTAAAATTCCTTTTGATTGCCTATTTTCAGTGGCACACAAGAGGGCGCAGTTGTTAAGTATAACTCTAATAGATGTTTTTAAAAATGTAACATGAAGTTTTTTGTTGTTGCAGTTTTTGGCTGGGGCTGGGCTTGAACCCGCCACTCTTGGCATATGGGGCCAGCACCCTACTCCTTGAGCCACAGGTGCACCCTAAGATGTACCAGTTTTAACATTGGTACTGAATCCCCTTAGCAACTTGGATTGCTTTGTTCTATAAAAGAACAAAATTAGACTGAACTGAATCACTTTTATATTTTTGAGATAGTCTTACTTTGTACATTGGTATATCACTGCAACCTCAAACTCCTGGGCTGAAGTATTCCTCTTGAGTAGCTGGGACTCTACGTGCCCACCCCAACAACCAGCTGTTTTTTAGAGACAGGGATCTCACTCTAGTTCCAGCTGGTCTTGAACTCCTGAGCCCAGACAATCCACCTGCCTTGGCCTCCCAGAGAGCTAGGATTACAGCTGTGAGCCACCCAGCAGGAATGAATCACTTTTAATAAAAATAAATGAGATTAAAGGTATGTATTCAATATTTGGCAATATTTACTTAAGACTGTCAGCCCATTTGCTGGGCTTTAGATTCTAATTTTTTAGTCCTTAAAAGTATTCTATAGTGTTACGCAGGGATTACAACATAAACAGTGTATCTCTAGAAAAAAATTAACATTCACAACTTGGGGCTCATGCAAAACTAGAAAAGAGTGGAAATGGAAAATGGAGACTAGAGATAAGCCTTTAGGTCAAGTGCATTTGACCTCTACAGTGACTATCATGAAGCACAGTCTCAATTTTGGTACAAAACCAAAGACTTAGTTGATCCTCATGGTAATCTTCATGCCTCACACTTCTAGGTGAAGAAGTCCATTCAAAGAATTAAAGTGATTTAATAAGGCTGGGCACAGTAGCTCACAAACCTGTAATCCTAGCACTCTGGGAGGCTGAGGAGGGTGGATTGCCTGAGCTCATGGGTTCTGAGCCAGAGCAAGACCTCACCTCTAGAAATAGCCAGGCAATATGGCATGTGCCTGTAGTCCCAGGTTGTTGGGAGGCTGTGGCAAGAGAATTGCTTAAGCCCAAGAGTTGGAGGTTGCTAAGGGGATTCAGTACCAGTGTAAAACTTTATTGGTGATAACAGTGACCAGGGCACTCTACCAAGGGTGACAAAAGTGAGACTGTCTCAAAAATTGAAAAAAATGACTTGATTCAGGTCCTTTTTTTGAGACAGTCTGAAGCTGTCACCCTGAGTAGAGTGCCATGGTGTCATAGTTTACAGCAACCTCCAACTGGGGCTCAAGTGATCCTCTTGCCTCAGTTTTTCTATTTTTAGTAGAGATGGGGGGGGCCCTCAATTTTTGTTCAGGCTGGTCTTGAACTCGTGAGCTCAAGGAATCCACCTGCTTCGGCCTTCCAGAGTGCTAGGATTACAGGCGTGAGCCTTGCCTGGCCTTGATTGAGTCCTTAAATCAAGAATAGATTTTAAGCTTTTAGAGACTTGTCATAAATCAGTCTTTCAGAGGATGGACTGATTGTGAAAGGGTCCAGAACTGTAATTTTCATTATTGAGACTGATTTTTCATTTGGATTGTTGCTTATTATATTTCTTATCCCTCAAGGGTGCTCCATGAAGATGAGGCTTTTTTCCTCACTGCCATATCCCTGCACCTAAAACAGCTTGGCACAGGTGCTCCATAAATGCTTGTTAAGTGAATTGTGAAAGAAATGTGTATTAGGAAGAGTTCTGATTTGATTGCCCAATTTTAAACCAAACAAGAGAATGAAGAATGAAGATGTGGGAGAAATTATTAAAACATGAAAGTAAAATCTTCAAAAAGAATAATCAGAGTAAGGTAATTGGTAAATAATCAAAGGCATTGAAGTTTGAAGAATGACACCACCAATGAGGACTAAGATTGTCAGCTAGATTATTTTGTGATAGTGAACAAAGATAAACCAATTAATATCAAATTTATAAACTTCATTCCTAAATCTGGGTACAAATTTTCATATGCTTCATATTCAGAACCTCCAAAAGACAATTGCCTGTTGAAACCAACATCACAAGCACCATCTCAATTCAGCAGAACTACTGTTTTCCTTATTTTTATTTTTATTTTTTTGAGACAGTCTCACTCTGTGCCCTGGGTAGAGTGCCATGGTGTCACTGTAGCTCACAGCAACCTCAAACTCTTCAGTTTAAGCAATCCTCTGGCCTTGGCCTCCTGAGTAGCTGGGACTACAGGTGCCCACCACAACACCCTGCTAGTTTTTCTGTTTTTACTAGAGGTGGGTCCTAATCTTGCTCAGGCTGGTCTCCAACTTCTGAGCTCAGGATCCTCCCACCTTAGCCTCCCAGAATGCTAGAATTACAGGTGGAGCCACCTCGCCTGGCCAGCAGAACTATTTCTAAAATACTTATACAACATCTTATACAACATAAAATGATGTAGCTGTGGTTTCCCCTGATATCAGTAGCAACTTTGGAAAAATCAGTTGTTTTATTTTCTTTTTTAAAAGACAGAGTCTCACTTTGACGCCCTCGTAGGATCACAACTCACAACAACCTCAAACTCCTGGGCTTAGGCAATTCTCTTGCCTCAGCCTCCCAAGTAGCTGGGACTACAGGCGCCGGCCACAGCCCCTACTACTTTTTTGTTGCAGTTTGGCCGGGGGTGGGGTTTGAACCCGCCACCCTCGGTACTTGGGGCCGTACTGGCGCCCTACCCACTGAGGCACAGGGGCCGCCCAGGTCAACAATTATTTTATATACTGAGTGGGACAGTAGGAAAACCATGGGTTTTGGAGCAAGGTCAATCTGGGTTGAAATTGTGACTTTGTCACATATTAGCCAAGTGACCTTCAGAATCATCTCTTAATGTTTCTTCATCAGTAGAATGGGAATAATTATTACATGCCTTTGAGACTGCAGTGAGGATTAAGTGAGATAATGCAGTTTATGAAAAGTGCAAATCTGGGTGTAGAGGAGGCGCTGTGCTGATTGGATCCCCCTAAAAATGAGTATAAGCGGTCAGGTGCACCGCTTTGGGGGAGATACGGAGAGTGAAGAATAGAGGGCCGGGGTGATTTTTAGTTGGGGAAGAGGTGTTATGGCAGGTGTGGGTTTGGCGTGTCCGGGTCATTAGCTAGCCATGCAGGCCTACCAAACTCAACTATCCGGGCATTAAGTCGGCTAACAATATGTTTATGTGAATATATGTTCGCCTGTGAAGTGTTTTAAAGCTTCCTTCCAGCACAAATCTCTGCGATTGCATCTGGCATGCCCTCTCACCAAATGCTGTTTATTTGATGAGTGCGCCTCCTGATATCCCAAAGAAACAACTGAATTCATTAGCGGTATGTCGGATGCTTTCCATCTGCATATTTCTTCGCTAGCTCTAATATTTGTGCTTTTTGGAGGGTGAAAGGAATGAAAGGCACCAAATACCTTGGCCTCCAAGCGTGGGCCAAATTTTCTCCCGCAACGACTCTAGGAAGTAATCCAATTCCGTTCTAGGAAAATCCAATCCGCAGTTTTTCCCTTGCTTTGGCTCTTTCCCGGTCTAGTCACTCGCGCAGGGAAGACGCTGGCCAGCCGGACTGGAGGCCGGCGAGAGTCCACCGGCTCCCGGGAGGCGGAGCCAAGGCGCAGGGGTCGGTGCAGGGGGCAAGAAGTCTTGGTGAGAGCGGTTCCCCGCGGGCGCCGTGGGACCACAACTCCCGGCGCACCCGGGAGCTGCGCCGAAAGCTGTTGGTTGGGAGCTGCAGCCACTCTACCCTCGCCGGCCAATGGGACGGAGGACAGCCGCCTGACCCGGATCCTCGGCGACCAATGGCGGTACAGAAGAGGTTGCTGCTTCCTTACCACTCACCTTGGGCTCAGAGAACCACAATTAAAAGGTCGTTCTGGCCAGGCTCTCACAGGCTGTGAGAGCAGGGACAGGAGGTGCGGCGGCGTCCTGGGAAAGCGACGCCCGGGGAACCCGGGTCCCCGGGAGTCGGGCTCCGGTCGTCGTCGGGGGCGGGGCCGGGGGCGGGGCCTGGCCTCGTTGTGGAGCGGTTCTTAATCCATCATGGCGGCCGTGGGGGTCGGTGTCTTTCCCTGAGCAGAGCCGGAGCCAGAGCCGGTTCCCCGGTTCTGCAGCTGAGGAGCCCTTCCGTTGTCCGCGGCCCCAACCGGCGGGGGCAGGCTGGGTCCCTCGGCGGAGCTCGGGGGATGTGACTGGCGACGGTGGTGGCAACGTCTAGGGCCGGGGGAGGGGGTGTCTCGGCCAGAGACCCCCCGGGCTCGGGGCAGCTGAGGCGGCCGGCTCTCCTCCCCCTGCGCCCGCCTTCCACCTTCGGGGCCGCGAGAGCCTTTCGTCCCTTACTGCACGGTCCTGGCTCTGGGACGCTGGGGGTGGTCTCTGTTTCTTCCAGACCTGGGACACCCCCCTTTCCTGAGGCGTGGAGAAGCATCGCCCCCCGAGTAAGCCGCCCGCGCCCCGCCCTGGCTGCCTTCCTCTTTGCCTGGAACTACTCCTTCCTCCGGATCCCGGCCCCAAGTTTGGTCACCGAGCACTCCATTCAAATCCCTTCGGTGCTGTCAGGCGGCCTCCCCTTCAACCCAGGTTGCTCTCGCGTAGCCTCTAATGCCCTGACTTTTTCCAATGTCACCTACAGCACCCTTAGTCTCAACTCAGCCAGAAACTTTAATGCAAAGGGAAAGTCTGGATTGGTTTCACAGGCCTTTTAAAAAGCGGACTTAAAAGTTGCTGGCAATGCATTCCTTTTTGTCAGAGTCGAGGGCAAGCTCTCGCTGAAATCTGGGTGACCTGTGTCCTTTTCCGGAGAGCGGACTAGAGAAGCGAGAGCCGCAGCCAGTTCAGCAGGAAATTTGTTGGAAGATGAAGAAACTAAGCTAGGGGGGTTGGTGACTTCCACAGGAAAAGTTCTGGAGGAGCATCCAAAGACGGTCAACGTTTCTTTTTTGTGTGGGAATCAAAATGGATTTAGTATTGTGGACTGTTTGCCGCATCCCTCTGAATATTTAGGTTTAGGTTTTTTCTTGAAAAGAAATTATTATTCAGCCAGGAAAATATACTTTAAATCAAGAAACTTTTGGGTAGCATTGCAATTATATTACTTAGAGTTGATAAACTGGGAAAATAATTGGAACTCCTGTTTACATGTGTCAACTTAAAAAAAAAAACAAACTGCTTCCTTTTGTTACGGAAAATCTCTTTTTGTGTTTGACCTCAATTACTGACTTGTGGAGATGAAGTGAATGTGAAACCCCACTAGATACCATTTTTCTTCGAAGCTAACTGACCGTTCTGGAATATCTTGAATCCTCTTCTGGAAAGGGGTTCCTATTATTACTTTATGGGGCAGCAGCCTGGAAAAGTTCTTGGGGACCAAAGAAGGCCAAGTTTGCCTGCCCTGCACTTTATCAAAGGAGCAGGGAAGAAGGAATCATCAAGGCATGGGGGTCCACACTGCAACGTGTTTGTGGAACATGGTGAGTGCTTTTCAAAGATTTCTGGTTGTGTTTTTCCTTATGTGCACAACTTAGGCCATCAAGGAGCTTTTGAGCAACAGTGCTTGTGTCAGTTCCTTCCATTTCTACTTAAGACTTTTGTTACTATAGTTATCTCTTGGTTTCTGGTGGAACTTTGTATAAGGAAAAGTTACTTTGTGACTCTGTATGGCTTTATTCAGAATCTGTTCCAGTTGCCACTTCTAATTTACTGTTGACCTTGGAAAAGCCATTTTACTGTGCAGGGCCTCAGTTTCCTGAGGCAGTGGCTATGGCTATAAATTCTTCCTTAGAATCTATCATTCTGTGATTCTGCTTTAACTGAAGACATGGGCTTTTTTCCTAACTTGTGTGGATTCTTTACTACTTTGTTCACAGAGAGCCATTATCATATTTTCAGAATGGTTTGTGCTCCCAGAAAGGTTAAAAACCACAAATACTGGTTGACACTAATATCCTTGACCTTTTCAATCATGAGTAGGACTCGAAAATACTCACTTTGGAGCTGTGTGGGGAAAATCAAATAGGGAAGCAGAATTCCACGTGAATTGGGAATACACAACTTCTAGTTATTTTAACTTCCAAAAGGTAAATCTTTTCTTCTTTGAAGCAGCTTTCCTCCTTCTCCTCGCCCTCTGTTTAGAATGATATTTAGAATGACATTAAAGGTTGCCTTTGACATTTTTTATGAGCATGTTTGATATTTGAGTGCTGACAGTACATATTATATTGTTCACTTTTAGTACTGAGTGAAATTAGAGCTAAGGGTCAGCTTAGACTGATGCCTGTAACCAACTAATTAGGGTTCTGTTTATTTTTATTGCAGCCTGACTGGTTTTTTTTTTTTTTT